TTCTTTCTTTCTTTCTTTCTTTCTTTCTTTCTTTCTTTCTTTCTTTCTTTCTTTCTTTCTTTCTTTCTTTCTTTTTTTCCTCATTCAAATGACAACAAACTACCTGTGTGGATGCTAATGCAGACTTAAACAATCGACAGGGATTTAATTAAATTTTTAAGAATTTTGCTAAATCAGGTCAAACTGTTCAATGTTTGTTTCCTTTTCTTACGTTTATTTTTATACATTCTCCAACACTTCAGTTTTTCTGTATTTTTCTCTGCATGTTGCTGCTTTCTGACAGGTGTAATTACCAGCTTTCAGAATGCCAGCTCTGCTTTGTGCTTCTTTTATCAGTGCTCTCCTTTTGCCTCTTCACTATTACYATTGTGCATTACAATAAATAAACATTTTCATTAGCACAGCCATAACCCAGCCAGGCTATTGTCCATTCTCAATCTTTAAAAAGGTTTTCTATAATTTTATGTACACAGCAATGACTGTTCAAATCATGCAGGCTGAAAAGGTCTGTTAGTCCACCCATTCATTCTGTGTGACACAAAAATAAAGTTTATACTTAGATGGATGTAGACATTACAAATATAGACGCTGCATCTTTGCTTATAAAGGGCTCTGTGCATCTCTTAAGTTTTTAAAAGTTGAAAAAAAGAAATTGTACTGTATCTTTTAATCTCTCCACTCCCCTGTGGATACTCAGTAGTTTACAGTTAAAACCTTTTCATGTCTTTGGCATTGGCATACTAAAATAAATGGCTCTGGTTTAAATGTATACAGTATATCACTTTACTTTTAAGAGTGTTTCCTAAAATTTGAGCCTAATAAGGGAAACTGACTCCAAAAGAAATTGTTGTTTAATGTAATATTTATGGCAGTATTGTACATCACTAAGTTTTACGACAAGCATTTAAAGTAGCTCAGTGGAGGTATGCATCTGTCCAGATTAGCAGTAATGGTTCTGAGCGCTACACATTTTTTTTCTCACACTGTAACCTCAACCAAACCTCGTCAATAAATTGTTACTGCGTAGCACATTCCCCCTGCTACACCCCGTTTAAACTTTTACTATCCGGGTTATGGATAATATCATACTGCTTTCACAAAGCAGTCCTAAAAATGCCTGTACCCATAGCTGTTCAGTGAGGAAAAATATGTGGGATCGTTGGCAAAAGCTGCAGAGAGATAATTGGATTTTCTGTATTTTTTATTTATTTATTTATTTWTTTGGTGTTATTTTATTACTGCTGTTTTGTTGATTGATAAATGTGACACATCACATCCAACTGAGGTTTAAGTCCCAGTAGGTGGAGAAATAAGCAGCTATAGTGTATTGATTTAAATGTTTGCAACATTAGCAGTTTGTTAAAACATGATGAATAAATATCTTATTTACATGTCATTTAAATGAAATATAATTTTAAGGATTTTTTTTAGCAATAGCTTAAAAATAAACTGATTTTGAGCAAAAACGCCTTAATTTTCGTCACTTTCTC